CTTAAATATCTCAACTGGGTGCTTATAAATGTTCTTTTGAGTAGAATGAAGTAAAAATGAAAATCCGTGCCAAAACACTCCACAGTTTAAAAATGGTGTACCAATCATTTTTTTCGAACCAAGTTAAGTCTTCATCAAGAGCAATCCACTGGTAAAAGCTTGGGATAAACATCTAATCTAAATGCTTAGAAACGATCTTTAGAGAAGATCAATGAAAAAATGAAAAACCGCGCAAAAGCACTATAAAGTTCTAAAATTCACTATGATTGTACCAATGTATGTAATGGAACCAAATTCAAATCGCATTGAAAACGGGACTTCTGCTTTCGATTACTCAAACCCCCAGTTGGATACCTAAACCAAGAGCTTGAAAACCGTCTATAGAAAAGTAGGCTGTGGAAAATACAAACTGAGCAAAAATTGTCCATAGTTTGAAATTTATTTATGATGGTACCATTTTTTTCTATCGAACCACGTTAAAACCACATCACAGGCAAAGTTTTTACCATCTACTGCTAAAAGCCACGGTTAAATATCTTAACTGGCTGCTTAGAGACGGTCTTTAGAGAAGTGCGATGTAAAAATGAAAAACCGCCCAAAAACACCTCAAAGTTCAAAAATTGAGCATGATGGTGCTAAAGCATTCAATGAAACCAAATTGAAACTACATCTAAACTCAAGCTTTTGCTATCTAGTACTAAACCCCGCAGTTATTTTTTTTAAATCTTGTGTTTACTCAGGCTCTTTAGAAATGGATGAAGTAAAACTGAAAAACGCCACAAAAACACTCCAAAGTTCTAAAATTCAGTGTGATCCTGCTTAATGTTTCAATAGAACCAAATTTAAGCCTCGTAAAGACCGAAGCTTCTTCTATCAACGACTGGAACTCCTGATTGGCTATCAAAACTGGGTGCTTAGAAACCCGCTTTTGAAAATTATGAAGTAAAAATGAGAAACCGCTCAGAAACACTCCAAAGTTTCAAAGCTCAGGATGATGGTACCCAAAATCTTCAATGGAACCAAATTGAAATCGCATCGTGAGCAAAGTGTATGCTATCTAGTAGTACTAAAACTCTTGGTTGCTCAGAAATCGTCTTCAGAAGGGCAGGATTCCAGGCCAATTCCCCAATAAAGTGCTAACCAAGGAAAAAATCGAAATATTGCAATTTATTTCTTCAGTAACAGTTTCACAGTATATTCTATCAGCCGCTATGGAAAATATATCAAGTACATTTTGATTAAGAGGCAATAGTCGGAACAAATGGACTGGCACAGCGCAATTAACATGTTTCCAACAGGAAACGACTTATGGCTACTATTGTATTAATCCTTCACACCATACCGCTATCATCCATTTTTTAAATGGGAAAATTAATTAAAAGCGCATCACATTCAGCTGCATGGGCTAAAGTAGTTCTATATGCAACAATAATAGTTATAAGAAATCGAGAACTTTGAGCTTTTATGAAACTATCGAACAAGTTAGGCTGTCGGGGCCGGGAACGATGCAACATTTTTGAGCTTTCAAGACATCATGGACAAATGTCCCAAAAGCCTGCAAATTTTGCCAGTTTTTAATAAGTTGTATACAGTAGAATTTGGACGTATAAATTGCGAAAAACGTAACTAGATGATTACAACACAGACATCCAACGACTAATTTTACACGGTAACCTAACTTTGTACTAAGTATATAGTTTGATATCTTCAAAAGACGAGAAAGCGAACAAAAATCCACTTTAAAAACTCTTTTCAAACCCATTTCTTTAACCGAGAAAAACACTTTGAAAGACACTTTCTCGACTCATCAATAATCAATAAGAAACAATCAGGAACCAATTACAACAGCAACTCAAATGGAACGGATCAACAAGTCCTAATGTTCCAGGCACAATTGAATACGCCAACTCCAACTTACTTCCTATAAAGTCCGAGCTTTAAAGGAACTTCCTTACTTTGCCTGGAATTGAGGGCAACAGGGAACGGATTAAAAACGTGACTGGGCGACTTACTCAGGCTCAACTGTTCCTCACTAAGCGCCCTCGAAGCCGAGAAGCTTGGAGTGCTCGCACTGAAATGATCACTTTTCAAGGTGAAACTAGTCGAAGGTGTATCACAGCTTTCATAGCTAATAGCATATCGCTCCTGCTGCTCATTTAGCGGTAAATCGTCATCAAAGTTGATCAAGCAGTGCGAAGTTGCAGTTTCTGAGCTTTGCCCACCATTTACACTGATGGCTGAGTCCTTATCGTCTTCCTTATTCCATCCGCAATCTTCAGTTTTATAATCAGACAGCAGATCAACTGAGGAGAATTCTTCAGCTACTGATGAGTTGTGAGCAGGCACTGGATAGTCATTCTCATTCAAAGGAGGAAGCTGGGAAGAACAGTCCAAAGTTACACCAGCACCTTCCAAGCGTCCCCCGTTGGGCTGAAGGGCTTCGTTTGCCAATATTGAAGCTGAATCCTCAAAAATCGCAACAACACTCCTAATATCCGCCTTAAAAGGTTCACTATTCCCATCCCTTGAGTCGCTGAGGCACGGTTTTTCACTGCTGATGGACTTGAGCAAGTCCACGTTTTCCTTAATAAGCCTGGTGGACAACTGCAGTCTATCCTGCTGCGGGTCTTTGCTCTTATTAGCTGCCAGAGCCTTCAGCAACTCGACGTTCTGTTGAATCAACTCGCCAGACTTTCTATTATCCAGGGACTTTTCCTTGGATCCGGCGGGATTGAGCTGGTCATCACTTGCAATTGCCAGTGGCGTTTCCGACTTGCTTTCGTGCAAACCCTCCAGTCGGGCAGACTTCTGCTGCAAAAACTCGCCATAAAAGAGGTGATTGCAGCGCTCGTCCAGACTTTTGCTTTTCTCCAGGATGTTGTGAAATCGCGAGTTAATCTGAGGGTTTTCTGGGAAATTTTCTGCTTCCCCACTCTGAGAGTATACGGTGTCTTGTTTCTGAGCCGGCAGGTCAGTGACTGCTTCTGCAGGGTTCAACTCGCCTTCGGCCTCATCCTTAAAATACAGCGGAGGTGAAGGAGAAAGTCGCGACTGACACTGCATCATCCTGCGTAAAATCATCGAATTCTCCTGTATAATTTGCAGCGCCAGCTCACTATTGCGCCTGGAATGGCTGCTGGCGCTCACATTAGCCGGCTCACTCTCACTATTGTTCTCCTTCAGATACTTGACACGATCAGCTAAAAAGTGCTCGAACTCAGCGCTTTCGTCCTCTGAGTCAGACATCAGCTTCACCGGGGACGCTCTTAAACTGTTAGCTACAGAGGCAGCGTTTCCTTCAGTATTGTCGCATTTTTTTAAACTAATATCACCAGGACTGGGATTGTCGGTTAATTGACTTTGGCTCGGAGGCTTCGCATCTTCTTCGGAAGAACTCTGCACGTCGTCGTCGCATAGCTCAGTGTCGCTCGAACTGGAGCTGGAGCTCTGTTTTTCTGCGTCCTTCCACTGGATGGTGCTGGGGTGGATTTGACGAGCTGGCGGGATGCTGCCCTTTGGCGGTGCTGGACGTCTTGCAGAACCTACACGAAATGTTTCCTGGTGAACAACCCCAATCTGTCTACACCCAAAAATCTCACCTAAAGCTCGCTTCCCTACTAGAAGATGGTTAATGGCAAGGGCCGGGGCAGGAGCCGGCTGTCCCGATATCGCCGAAGAAAAAATAACATGCGCCTGCCGCTGCCGCTGCTTCAGCTTCAAATATTGCTTCTTCAGGGCGCTGATGTCCAACGGAATGTTGTGCTTCAGATGCAAGCTGATCTGCTTTTCCACCGGCCGAGGCATCGACGTTCCCCAGGGCGTGATATTGTACAAATAATGATCCCTCAAGTTCTTCAGCTCCTTCAGCGGCCCGATGGCCACGATCGCTTTAATCAGCGTATTGGCGTCAATCAGATTGGATTCGAGCAGTTCCCTGGTTAAGGCCCCCATCATGCAGTAGAATTCATCGGCTGTTCGAACCGAGAGGATTCTTTGCGCCAGCACTTGCCAGATGGCCACTGCTGTACGCAGAAGAACTTCGTTTCCTTCCAGGAAAATCAGGTCCCAAACTCGTAGAACAGTGGGATGAGGCAAACAGTTGCAGAACAACGTCAGGAACCTGAAAAATTGTTCAGGTTTTAGGCCTGGGTAACACAGCGGTTTAAGCGGTGCAGCGCGTTCAATGTTTTTTCTTTGGTTTTACTGAAGAGATCCTATGACAGACGCCGGTTGCGTTGTTTTAATGAAAAAAATGAATGAAGTGGCAACATGTTTTCTTCTTAGATAAGTTCTATATTGTTGAAGCGGATTTTTTTACAAACTTCTTTTTGGGTATTTCGCCTCACAAATTTTTGTTTTTACAAAAGACGGAATTTCCATTCCAAGAAATTAAAGAAATTAATTTGAAAAAATTACCTTAATAAAATCAAAGCTCAATAAAAAAAGATAAAACAATCAAAATTTTGCCTGCTGATAAAGGAAATGCGACCGTCATCATGGATTATAATATCTATGATCAAAAAATTAATAAACTTTTAAATGACAAAAGTTATTCAAAATTAAACAAAAATCCAACAGAACGTTTTGAAAGACAAATTTATAACACTTTAAAAATATTTAAACATGAATTCACAGATTACGTTAGATCAAAATTAACACCACACAATAGTAAAACGCCACATTTTTACGAAGTTCCAAAAATTCATAAAGTTAATATTCCTTTACAACCAATAGTTAGTAGTATAAATTCACCTACACATCCCTTAGCGAAATATCTTTTAAACATTTTAAATCCCTTAATAAATAACACAACTTCCTATATTAAAAATTCTGAACATTTTTTACAAAAATTATCAGACATAGA